GCTCGCTGAGACCGAGGTCAATGACCAGCTCGCCGCGTTCGAGCGAGAAATGCGAGAGTTGGCCCAGCAGGGCACGGACCCCACCATAGGTCCCGAGAATAACGTCGAGGACGTTATTGATGCCACGCAAGTGGAGGCGCAACTGGCTGCACCTCCTAGTCCGTCACCGAGTGAGGTGCTTCGCCAGCAAATGGAGGCTGATCGCCTCGAACGGCTCCGGAGAGCGGGATTGGGGGACACTGGGCCAATAGCAGGTCCGTCTCGACTACTGCCCTCCTCGCCGTTAGCGGCTCCGGCACCCATTCGAGCTGCACCCCCACGACGAAGCGTGGCTTTCGGGGCCTTTGAGCCCTCGGATATCACGGCACCGCCAGGCTGGGACCATTACGAGTCCGCGTCGCAAGCTCCTCGGGGTGACCGAATCCCGGTCACTTCGACGGCACCTCCGCACCAGTTTGTGCTCCGACCCAGGAGGTCCTTAGCTCCAGGAGCTTCCGCGCATCACGGACTTAGTACTGTCCCCGAGCACGAGCTCGATGGATCAAATGAGCTCGCATACACGGGCCCTAGCTATGGGCCCCGGGACGCTCGTGAGGTCCAAAGGCTAATGGGCATGATCGACCAAATGGTCGGGGAGGAACCGACCTCCAGTCCGCCGGCATACCTGAAGGTCACTAAGATGACCCTCCCGAAGCCGTATTTGGGCAAGGACGATCTCGACGCTTTTGAGATGTGGCTCCACAACCTCCTCGAGTTCTTCCGTACCCTACGGATAACCGGTCCATCCATGGACCCAGACCGACTGCGGATACTAGGGGACTGTTTGTCCGATGAAGCCGCGGTATGGATGTACAACACAGTACAATCCCCCTCCCGGGAACGGCGAGACTGGCTGTTCGAAGAGGCTGTAATTGGCCTCTTCCGGCGATTCATACACCGTGACACGCACCTGCAAGCTGCGTACAATTACGACAACCTTCGCTTCGAAGCGAACAAGGGCGGCGTTGCAGCTCTGTATGAACGACTGCTCTCCATAACGGAGAAAATGTGGGAGAAACCCACTCAGTTCCAATTACGGAACAAGTTCCTCGACGTGTTGCCGATGAGTTATGTTCATACACTCACTGTAGTTAACGGCCTCTCCGTTAAATATAATAGTTTGGCCGCGCTATACCAGGCGGCGCTCGAGCTCGAGCAAAGTTCGCGTGAACTTCATCAACGCCGTCGCCCACGCTGATGCACTCAACCGACCGGTAAGGACGGAAGAAGGAGACGGTCGAGAGCCCTAGGAGGTCGAGACCGGGCCGCGGAACGTCTCGCGAAGCGCGAGGAGAAGCAGGTTCGTGTTGGGTGCCCTTCGGGCGGCGCAGTACGCGGGAGAACGCGGTAGAGGGAGCGGAAGAGGGAAGGACGGTGGACTGATGACAACTCAGCTGAGCTGGCGCTCCGCGGGACGCAGGAGGGCCTCTTCGCAGCCCGTGTTAGGCTTCGCAGGGAGTTCGCAACGCTATCGCAACGCTAAACGCTATTTCGCAAGGGTTCGCAGAGTTCGCAGTTCGCAGTTCGCAGTTCGCAGGGTCGTCGAGGGTTCTTCGTGAGAGAAGGTGAAATCTGAGCCCAGGGGGAATCTGAATTCTCACAGCCCGAGGGCGTAGGTATTTACAGGGCCAGCCAAAACCGTGCTACAGTGATCAGAAAGTCTCTACGGAACGTCCATCGCGGAGGGGACCGGCGCCCGCGATGCGCCAGCCGTCTACCGCGTAAACGCGGAACACGCCCCTGCGCCCTGCCGGTCCGGCGATGCGGAACACACCCCCTCCGCGCGTGTCTGCCCATGCGGTCGTGATATCGCGCGATAAGTCGTTCCGCGCGAGTGCGAACCTTCCGCGCCCGCGCCGCGATGAGGCCTCTGCCCCAGTTGAGGTCTCGCGAACCCGCGGAAACCGCGAAAAGAAGGCCGGGCGGGTGGTGGCTCGGTACCGGGCGTATCATCTCCCCCCCACTGAGCTTTCGACCGTCCCCGGTTGACATCGATGCGATCTGCGATCTTGCCAGGGTATAAAGTCCTCGCAGACGGTTTCGTCTGCTACCCCCCTCGCGCTTCACACCATGCTAAA